TTGCTTGATCGTAGGAGAGCCGAGAGACCAGCCCACTCGATCGATCGATCGATCGACGGAGATCGATTTGCGTCTTGAGTTTCTTCTTCATCCATCGCTGTTTGCCCCTCGAGGAGACCGTTTGGCGACTAACGGGACAGGCAGTAGTATAACAGTTGCTGTTGCAGCTGCCACTGGCTTACGACTAACGTCTGTCATCCGGCCCGAGTAACTCACCTCAATCGAACGCAAAAAGAATGCCTCGTCTTACTCTCTCCCCGTCTACGCAGATATATAGTCTTTCCCTGGACTGATTCCCTGACTGCGGACCTCATCGGGTTCAGCCAGGAACGCGAGATGATGATTAGCTGAGCTATCAAGGGAAGGAGTCGTCTCTAAATGATTAGTAACACCTATATAGAATAATGAGAAATTAAGCAATTTCTTTTCACCTACTCTGTTTAGGACAAATTGTATTGCAAACAAGGCCGAAGAATTAGAAAGAAATTTTGGAAAAAGAAAATGACTGAATTAAACGTTTCGAGATGGGTCCTTCAAGCCGACGGGGTCGTCGACTGTGACCAGTATTTTACACAATACCTAGGTAATAAATGATATTCTACATTATACTTGAATCAAAAATTGCGGATTGTAAAGCTGAAAAGTCCCTCTATTTGAAAAGCTGGCTGAGGGTTGACCTGGTAGAGTATCCTTTTCAACAGAAAGAAGGCGCGAAAATTTAAATTTCATGATGCCATGCGGATAAACGCAATCGTTTAGAAGATAAGATGGTCGAAATAACTTTGCTTTCCACTATTCATATGATGTTCAATTTCGGTAAGCGTTAAGTTAGTCTACTGTTTAGCGCGAGCTTCTTATCAGAAAATTCATAACAGATGCCAGACAAACAATTTAAAGTTTGCGAAATGATGTGCGACGCAGCTTTTTTAGAAAAGTTTTTTAAATGTAACACGGGTTAGATGCACCAACAACTACCTACATCCGCACTTCCTGGTAGAATTCGGCGCTTATTGTTGGCTCATAATATGTTTTTCACCCTATTCAAGCTGCCGGTACACTAAAACAAGACCAGCCAAATAAATTATAGAAAATTAGGCATTTCATTGGGAACAAGGGTTAGGTATTTAAAAGCTAATCCCACCCTGTCCGACCTAAATCGCCCCGCAGAACTGTCGCGTCGAGTTGATTTCTCTGAAAGTGGGTCGATACGTTACTAGAGGTTGGGGAACACTTATCCACTACTTTATCTCTTATGCTGTGCGCAGAAATTCTGCGAAATCTATTGTCAAATCGTTTGCATTTGTTTACTGCGGTTAGTCAAGACCAATTCATGGTTACGTTATATCATTCTGTGTGACCCATTTGGTTGTCATAGAAATTCCGTTGAATTTTTCAAAATGGATTGCTCGCAATGTCGACATTGAACTATTAGAAAAGAGATGATGAGCTCTAGCCAACTTTTAGTAGCATCGGATTAGGCAAAACGTACATTTTTTGTTTAAATAGAGAAAAATAAGATTTAGCCTATCAGGAATTGCAGCGTTAGTTGAAACGGACATTTTTTGTGAATGCGCCAAAAGTAATAAGAGGGGTTCAACATATGAGGTCCGTGAAGAGTATAAAACACGCTGATGATTATCATGATAGTGGTCTCATTTGGCTAAACAGGTTATCGAAAAGCGTTGCTATGAGTTCCATGTCCTATATATCTACATAGAGGTCACATCGATTGTCCCGTTTATTGATTTCAGCGAACCTTGCGCCTGTTCGATACCTAGTGCTGACAAGGGCCAAAAAATAAAGCTAGGTCAACAGACTAGCAAAAAAAATGAGCTTTCTGCCCCCCATTCTCCGAGAATATCTCCTGGTTGAACTGAACTTGGGCTCGCAAAAAGATTCCAACATGAGTCACACACCGATTTTTTTGCCGAATGTTTTACTCATCTATGTTCGGGTCCACTCCGATCTATAGACCAAGCCAAGCTTCACTTTTGCCTCACTCTGAGCAAATGCATTCTTTTTTTTCATAGGCCACATTCTGCCGTACGTTACAGTATACCTGCAATTTTGTCTATCAGTGTTCGCTATCTGTGATCTTGTAAAAGCACTGTCGGTTAGGTTACTTTTTTTTTTCATTCATTGTGACTGTGACATCGATTTTCTCATCTAGATGAATTTCTCGTTCACTACTATATGAGATTATCAGCGTTTTGAGTGTACAGTAAAATACTGCACTACTGATGACAAAACAAGCAACTTTGCTAAAGACATTTGAATCCCGCCAACGGCTCCTACTTTGTTGTAGAGCAGTTAATCAACTTTAATTTAAAAGCTTTATTTAGCTCTCCACTTTCTGTCCCCCATGTTGTCTTTTCACCGCGAACGGACTAAGAACGTTCATTTAGCTTCGACATTTCTAGACGATTCCAGCTAAAACAAAGTCAAAAGGAACCTTGATGCGCTCTGTGGTCAGCGAAGCTGCCGTTTACCGATAATTAACATAATTGGATGCTACGCATCCGTCCATAAACAGTAAAAATAATAACAGTACTCGTAGTAGAACTGTTGACCTCGTTTGACGAGTGCCTACTTTTACAACACGAATGAATATCCCAATAGTGTGTACATAGATGAATAGGTAATTATATGGGCACCACACATGGTATTAGTTTTAATGTGCCTCGTTACGAGCCAATCGTTATTATCTCACAAAGTGTGTAGTAATTTTATTAGATAACGAGTCAAAATAATTGAAAAGATCAGATCGAATAGTTGAAGATATTGAATTGTCGAAAATGCATTATGGCTTAAATGTTAAGGTTCAGATCTGCCTGTAATAAAGGTGTTCAGCAAGTACTTAGGACAGAGCAGCCTTCTGCTAGAATTCAAGCAAGAGATGCTCCTTGTAGTAATCCATCGAATACGTAAAAAAAAGTTATTGAGAGACCGATATGTGAATCACCATGATACTGCCAAATAACTATACGGTTACCGCTATACGAACTCACGAGAAATAATTAAATCGCTTGTAATTTCACCTGCAAAACTCTATAAAACGCAATGAAATTGAACCACCTCTATAAGTTGATTGATTATGAATGATAGAAAAGTAGATAACATACAACAGTAACGTGTAAAAGAAAGTGTTCTCTACGATCTGTAGCAAAGCTCGAACAGACGCCAAAAGAGGTAGTAATATGTGTTTAGCGAGATTAGAAGGGACTCGTACATCATGAGCTATTGCCACCTGGCAAACGATTGATTTGTACCCCTACTGTCAATGGCTAGCAAGATTATAACAGGACATAGGCTCATATCGGCTTTTATCGAATCGATCTTAATCATGTGAATTTAGTTTCAATAGAGAGATGTAAAAATCATTCGTTGCAATTCTTTGCTCAGAAACCATCGAAGTCCTATAGTGATGAAATTATGTCACCTCACTCAAGACTCAGAGAAGCGACTAGATAACATTGGATGGCACCGTACAGCCACAAGTGTTCCAGATCAACATTACCAAGAAGGAGATGCATGAGGTTGGATGATAAATGTGGTACTATTCTCTATCACACAAAAGAACAAATTACGGAAACTGCTTGGTTCTATATATATATATATATATATATATATATATATATATATATATATATATAGCAAAAGTTAATTTTGAGAGGCCCTTGTATCACAGCAAACACAAAGAGAAATTTCTATGTTCATAAAGTTAGGATATTTTCTACGTGCGTGAATAAATTTGCGCTTGTTATTTTTGATAACTTGCATAAACAACTCAAATAATACGAAGACGTTTTCTACGTTAATGTACAAACAAACTTATACAATACACAAACAATATAAACAACCTTCTTAAAAGCCAATGTATTAGCCGCAGTATCTGCCTGTTAAACTTACCACTTATGCTTGGCGAGTGTCTCTCATGGCAATGTTACAGTTTATAATGATATATATGTATATATTCGCAGCATGCCCTATAATCTCGCATAATTAATGTTTCTGTAAACTATTATATTTAGCAATTAGATGGATTTTTTGCTGCCACTGATGTAAAGAGTCGGTCTCTCAGTTTCAACCTATTGATTTAGAGTTAAAGAGGACATTGTCTGTTACAATGTTGTTTAGAAAGACCAGAGACCAAATATTTATTGTTAATAGATTGAGCAAAACTACCCAGATGTACGCAAGATAAATGATCCGTACCGTATCAATAGAAAACAAGCGGTCACATTGAAAAACGAGTTGTCCAAGCAGGAAGATAAACTTCGTCACCAGGGGAATTTTGTAACGCGCTTTTGACGTTCGCTCTCGTCGCCTCTCGTACCTACTCGTATGATCAGCACCACTACTTAGCGATGTACAATCGGCCGCAATATCTCTTGAAACAGGTTGTATGGCCTCTGTGCTTGGCCTTTGTCGTCGGCGCACTCAGTCGACACTCTTATGAGTGGTCTAAAGAACCGAGCCCATAGAACTGGCCTTAACGAAGCTGATTTTTGGAATTCATTCAACCTTAAGCACTAATTTATAGAGAATATCTCTAAGATGGGCCAAGTCTCTTTATCCCAAATACGTAGTTATGTCGTATTTTATACCGTGCAGTTTCAAAGGAAAAGCCCAAACGGATGCTGTGGAGCTTGGGACCAAGCTAAACGTGATAGTGAATACTAAGCTCTAAATGACTTCCCATACTTTTTTTTCCATGCGCATTTAAAAACATCAGAGAACGTGACTCTTCCCCTTTAGGCGAAATGTATTGCAAACATATTAATTAATACGCTACATTTGAAAATACCTATTCAAGAATGTTAGTATAGGCGGGAATTTTGCTGGCGGGAATTTTGCTGTCGCGATTTACAGGCAAATAGACCTTAATCTCGAAAAATTCGAAGTGCTAGTGAATCTTTCAATTACACTTGTACCGATGTTAAATCTATTGCAGTGTGATACAACAGCTAACGAATTATCTCAATTTATTATTCATTCAGTCGATTTAGAAGCAGTAAAGGACGAGATGAGTGAGAAGAGAGCTTCTCGTGTATCAACCACCCAAAGCCTATCAGCGATCTCTGAAAATGGAGTGGCCGATGACGATATGGTTGACGTTCACGTCACCACAGCGCCGGACGGCGGATACGGATGGGTGAGTGTGTAATAAGCGGTCTTCGCAGCTATTTTTGGATCCCGAACGGTCTGCAAGGAGAAATAGCAACAGTTTGATGGTAATCTTGAAATTTGTGGCCGAATCAGTCAGAAAGCTCGTATAAACAATATAGCGTCAATGTTGATAAAAAAAAAAAATAGGCATATTTAAGTCGGCTTAATTGGATTCCGTTTTTATTATTAGCTTGCATACTTTGAAACTGGCTTGTTTTTTCACTGGATGCATGTTTGTCGTGTTTTAGAGTGTCGTCTGCTGTCCCTAAGGGCCCTGTTCTCGAGAAGTAGAACAAAGAAGCTGCCTAAAACTGTTGCAAATATAGGCAAAGCAATTCTCTTGTTATTCGCCATTATAGTTAGGTACATAACTTAGATAAAAGTGAATTAAGTGCCGCTCTCCAAATGGAACTGGGTCGCACAGCACACTATAGAAGCAAATCAAATAAAGGCAGTTTTAAGGGTGATGCACTCGTGTGTACGCGGCTTTGGCCTCTACGGACTAGTTGGTTCTTACTGTAGCAACGTTTCTCGGTTGGGCATAGGAATAGCTATAATCGGCAATATGCACACTTTCAAGTAAGTTATTCTTGTTGAATGTATAGTATAAAATTAACATGGTTATTTTCCGGCCAAGGATCCTGGCGGTTTCGTATGCTACTTCTCGACCCCACAATGTAGTTCCAACAAAAAATCGGCTACATTAAGCGCAGAACTCCTCGATTTTGGATGGTGTTTCCAAAAAAAAAAAAGAGGCGACCAGCTCTGATGTCGAAGGCATGACCCTATTTTCGAAACGAAAACCACTGTAAAATATTCAATCCAATTTGTGTTACTATTTCTAATTTTGCAACTTATTGCTTCTTTTAACACATTGGTATCGGTGTAATTCAGACCACTTACATTGTTGTCAGTTGCGCACGATAAATTGCCTGTTGCCTGTCTACGAGCTTTCGCAAAAAGTGTGAATATCTTGCAATGGAGAATTCCTTTGATGTTTATGGCTCTATTGCAGTCACACTAATCTTAAATTTACCTGCCAATAGCATGGACCTGAGAGTTCGATTTAATGGAGGCCTCTTCCTACATGGCCTAGATAGAGTTTCATACAAGTTGTTTATTTCTAATAAAAGATGTTCGATAAGCCTGTATTGACTATCATTCTTTGGAGTGGGTGTCGAAGAAACTGAGCACGACCGTTTTCATCAAACCAGAGCCGAAGCTAGCGACAATATAATTTTAGCCTAAATTTTTCCTACCTAATTTTTGCCAGTCATCATGAAACGTACAATACTGAGCGTGGTACTCATCAACGATATACAGCTAACTGTCCAGGCTTTATGATAGTCAAAAATGTCCCCAGACTTCTAAATTGGTTGATCCGTTTTAATATTTGACGATTTTAGACACTTAATGAGTTTGTTGCTCCATCCATGTTATCCAAATCGATGTTATCAATTTAGCTGAACCAAACGTCGAACTTCTTTCGAACAGAAATGTTTACACCAAGTGCCTTCGAAAGCTAACCTGCTATGTAACGTTTAAGGGAACAGTTCTAAATTAGTAGACAAAAGGCACACGTACTGAGGAGAAGTTTTGTACAGGTCCTGGTTGAAATGTTTGATAAACATATACGGGTGGTTTGGCAATATATGTTAGTTAGTTACCAAGCCCGCCCAGTGCAAATGGTGGAAATATCAGTAATGAAGAGCTCAATATAGTGCAATTAAATGAATGCTATAAATGGTATATCTATATATATATATATGTGTATATAACTCGTTCGGCTAATATGGCATTAAAGCTGCTAGCAAAAATACGGTCAGTACATGATATCCATACGAAATTCAGTGTACTGCGATATCACTCCCCAAAGCGGCAGTCTGTTCGCAAAGAAAACCAGTCACGTTTCTTTGCGATGGTGCCGCTAACCTTCACCCCCTCCACTTAACGAATATATTTCCCCTTTTTTCCTGATCACCCATTCGAAGATTGCCTCAGACTGCGAAACCAACCGGATATAGGTCTATGTCTATTCGCATAGATTTCGTATGCACTGCGAGTCTCTGAGCGATGAATAGGATCTTGTACCCGCCGTCTATATGTGCAGGTAATGCTGACCGGCCTTGTCACAACAACAATGACAACAACCGGAAGCGAACCGAAAAATATTTACTGGCTATTATAGCAGAGTTGCCCAATAATGGCGCACAGAATGTTTCGTCGCTCGCAAGGGTGTTGAAACGTGTTTAAATTTAATTGTAGGTAGCTGCTGCAATACAATTTACTAAGACTTAACCATACTAGGCTCGTTCGGCCCAAAATATTTAGTTATAAATATTGTACCCTTGGTTACCCACAAAGTTGTTATATCTCGATGCTACTCGTGATGGCTTACTGATTTAGCGTTGTCTTTTTGTCTAGGTGATCGTGTGTACCTCCTTCCTGTGTTTCGTTGTTGTAGACGGAACTATCTTTTCCATGGGTCGCTTTTTAGAAGAGTTCGAAAAACACTTTAACAGTAGCAAATCGAAGACGGCCTGGGTAGCATCGATAATGTCAGGATGGTATCTTCTTGTCGGTAAGCGCAACGAATCGCGGCTTAGGCGCCAACTTTACGTTTAGCATATATGTAATAAAACGCATTAGGCAGTCAAATTAAAAGATATATCAAAATATAACCCTTCGTAATCACTTGAAATATAATCCGTATATTTAAAATCTTTTTGCAGATTGTTAGACTAACAGACAGTCTGTATTGCCCAACGTATGATGTTGCCATCAAGATAGTGCAATGATAATGAGTTTGCTTACCCACCGTTATGACTTATGAGAAGCCTTAAATTTGGATCTGAAGGTTGACGGATTTCGACTTTCCAGTAAAATATCTATTGATATCAAAGGCACAAACATAGTAGACAATCCTTTGTCCCGATCAGCAGCTCCAAATCGTTTGTATGCACCTCTGCTTGGTCACAAGTTCCTTTTTGACGCTTACTACAGAGGAACCGAGGCGTAAATCTAGAAATACAACTCTCGATAGCATAATCAATCGTATGACAAAAGTCATTATTTACGTCAGATCTACCTGCCCTGTACTTATCAGACGAAAAAAATTCAAGCCAGGCACGACACTGGGCAGAACCAGTGCAATATCTGGCATGCTGTCCGGGAACAATGGCAAAGGTCGCTGGCTATAAAAAAAAAAAAGAGATCGCCGTTCGGAAGCAGATTTTCAAAGTCAAAGTTTACTGTGTTACAAATTCTATGCAAACATATGTACATTTTGTAGGTCCAATTGCGGCTGGCTTATCCAACGCACTAGGGTGCCGAGTGGTCGCAATTTTGGGCTCAGTTCTCGCTGCAGCTGGACTCGCTCTTTCAGCAAGCGCGAGCACCATCAGTCAACTTTATTTCACTGCAGGTTGTATGACAGGGATTGGTTTTGGTTTCATCTACCTACCAGCAGCATGCACGATAAGCTTTTACTTTGAGAAGAAACGTGCGTTCGCGACTGGTATCGCAGTTTGTGGATCCGGAATGGGAGGTTTCATTCTCGGTAAGCAACTACTGGACAGTTTCTTCGTTGAGATCCGTCGAAGTTTTAGGGCGAATTAGCAAAATTGCATTTGTACTGATAACATTTTCAAGTTAACGAAGTTAGACAAAAATGTCCGAATAGTGAGGAACAAAAAAGAATCAAGCTGAAACATGTAAGTCGATTTGGGAACGTGTACCCAACCATCGGAGCGTAAATCGTTACCAAGGCTAAACAATAGCATGTAAATTATCTGTATTATTATCCTTATCCTCCCGCGGAAACTAGGTCCTGTTACCAATTGGCTGGTGAACGAACTCGGCTGGCAGAGCTCGCTCTACGTGCTAGCGTGTATGGCATTATCCTGCTCATTCATCACGGCATTATTTAAACCGCTCAATGCTGCTGAGCTGCCCGATAATCAGGATGATGAGGACGCGACTGAAGAAACTAAACATTTGAATAACAATAACACCAATATGAATACTGAGAAAAGCGGCACGCCCAGTTTCCCCAATGGAAATGTGAAGAACGCTCAGAACGGATCTACGCCATCCCTAGTCGTTAACGAGGTTTGTGGAGTCAGTGTCTAACTTATAGCTGAAAAACGGCTTTTATAAGTTAAATGAATCTAGCATTAAGTATAATTGTGGGAAATGATACATTCAACTACCTTTACACGAATACCAACGCGGTCAAATGCGGTAGTTTTTCTAAAAAGTCCAGATATCGAATAATTTCGAAACTGGGTTTTAGGTAGTAGAATTTTTTTTTGATTCTCAAGTTAGAGAATCCGATTCCGGAGTCAACTTCGATTCGACTAGCACCTATTACTAGGACAGCTGAAAGATACGATGTTATTCCTGCTGACTCGTCTTGTTGGGTCCTCACAGTGGAGAGACGTCCTTGTGACAAAGATTTCTGTGAAAAACGTCTTGCGCGAATCACCCTACCTGTATAGAACTATCACCGGGACAAATAGTAACAGCATAGAGAAAATAACATCTTCAATTATATCGAGCTGAAGTCACATTCTAGAAAAACTATAGCTATCTGTCCTTCTCAACACACACTGAACCTGTTTGTTATTTGGTATAAAGTGCAGAATCTATAAGGCAACTTCATTACGCTCTCGAAACCCTACGAAATTCCGAGCGTCCTCAAGCAACGCAAGTTGTCTCCTTATTTAAACGATGCAATTAAATGTCACAAATTACGTAGGTCCACATCATAGGCACGTTTAGTATACATATTTGTTTTGCACTTTCGGAAGAAAAGCACGAAAATAGATAGATTGATAGGTCAAGGAAAAGTTAACCTTCAACGTACATAGTATGATTGGATTAGTAACGCATGCGTACTGTGATGAGAACCGTATAAACAGATTATGAAGAGGGCTCTGGATTTGTCCAGTATTGATATAGATATCGAAAGGGTAGTTACATCTTCCCGAAGGGAACCCTATTCCTTTTGAGGCAGAATTTGATTTCCCTTGAAGGTCAGCTTCATGCACATCGATCACGTATAATCGAAGGACATGTAGTTAACGAAGCGAAGTTTTCAGGTAGAATTGATGAGACCTTCCCAATTTTCTGTCATTTGGTTTTTGCATGTAAGTGGTCCCCTATAGTAGTCGTAATTTGTTCTTTTACTTTCTTCGTATTAATTAAATGCGATAAATTCTGTTAGGACCTAAAACAGATGCATAAGGTTTAAATGTATCTAGCTTGATTTTAATTGAAAACACCTGTGCGATTCTACACCACAAGAAAATCATACGACAGAATTTTGTTAGCTCAGTGAACGTAAATGTTAATGTCACGATGTCTAGTTCACAATGGATAGTTTCTCCGCAGGATCCGAGCAATTTTTCTTTCTGAATCGTCAGAGTTGCCTGCGTCAACGATTTCCATACTACTACTACTACTACTACTACTACTACTACGCTTTCAGGCGATAGCTGCTGCAAAGTTCCGATCGAACTTTGAACTAAATACCGACTACAGACATAGCATGGATGGAGCCTCTCACAAGGGATCCACTCCCGTCGGATCACAACATGAACTTCGCAAGGTGCTCTTAACTGTGTTAGATATTGGCACGTGATAAAACTCTTTTTTTTTTTTTTTTTTTTTTTTTTTTTATATATATAAGTAACGTCTGCCAAATGACTTCTTTGAAGTTCAATTTTTAACTTTGAACTAAGCTTAAAAATTTATCAGAACACTGGTACATACACTATGAGGTTAACATAAAAGGCAACTCTATTGTACATAAGCGATAGTTACATTCCTCTGAGTTGTTCTTACTTATATATATATATATATATATATATATATATATATATATATATATCCCATTTATATTGATGGAAAAAAATCAAATATTAGCTAAAAGTTTGTCGACAATCGTGCATTGACCACTGTATTTTATCGTATCTGTTTGAAATTCCGTCAAAGATGGGATCTAATGCGAAAATGATTGGAGCTAGCCGAAAATCCGTGTATCATCATCGGAGTAAACTGAGTATCGATTACGGTGCACTGCGGGCCCGTGGCCTCTCACTGGCTTCATTGTCTACAGAGCGACGCTTAACTCAGCCTGATCTCAAACCGATGCTTCGTAAGGATGTGTTTCTTTCAGCTAGCTTGCAAAGGATACCTGAATACCGGTCGCAAACAAATATCAATGACTATCACGCGAGCGTTCTGCATATACCCACCCTACTTGGCGATGATAACCAGCAAAAGGTAGGACACACATGCATTCAAATTATCTCTAGCTTTAATGACGTGAATCATTGACTGGCAGGAACTGCTTAATAACGCAACTGTCTTTGTGCAATCAATGCGTATATTTGTAAAAATCCTTTTCGAACATATGTAAAAATCCCAATATCTAGATATTCTTCGCAGATCTACAGAATAGACAGTCGCAGAATGGACCGAGCCTATTCATTGACTGAAATTTGCCGTCTATTCCAGATGTGTGGCTGTATCCCACAGAGTCTTATCGACGCGTTAAAATCAATGCTGAGCTTCAACCTTTTGAAAAGTCCCTCTTTCTGGATTTTGGCGTTGTCCGGATTTCTCACTATGATGGGTTTCTTTATTCCTTTTCTTTACCTCTGCAAGGCTGCTACCTCAAAGGGCGTTGAAAAGGTCAGTTTCAATTGAAATAATTTATTCTAGAAGTTGTTAGGATTCTCTAGTAACACCCTTCCGGGTACGGCTCAGTTATAAAAAGTAGGTACCCTATGAGAGATGTCACAGTTAACGTGTCTGGGAAATTATTCTAAAATACGTATAATATTCTCATATATAAATCCTCTGCAGTTGTTGCTGCTGCTGCTTCTTCTAAATGTTTTCAATTTTACACCAGCATATAGATATATATTAAATAACAGGAGATTGAACGTAGGGTGCTCGTCAACACTTACAGCAAACGCCTGTTGTGGAACGCAGACATTTAGCTCAGTCTATTTACGTACAATAAAGAAACCAGAGCAAATGGCATTAACTGGAAAAGGAACTAATCTTCTATGATACCAATTCCGTTTCTACCCACGTAGGACAAGGCCGTAGTGTTGCTCGCCGTGATCGGGATAACCAACACGGCAGGTCGAGTCTTCTGTGGCTGGGTTTCGGATTTGCCTAAAGTAAACGCTCTGGCGATTAATAATGTGGCGCTTATAGGAGGCGGAATAGCGACGGCTCTTCTACCAAACCTACTCATGAAGTCGTTTGGCCTTCTCTGCGTGTACGCTGCTATATTTGGTTTTTCTATTGGTGAGTAGATGCTACATCACTTCGATTATATAGTAATAGTGAAAATAGAGTTTTCGCAGGAGACTACACTATGTAAGGTTGTAACTAGTCAACCCGTTGTCGATGAAAACTTGATAATCTACAAAACATTTATATGTTATATAATTACAGGCTTCAGAGACACAAAGTACTCAAAAGAAGTGGTTTTAAATGTGGCAAGTTCAGGACACACTTGCTATCTCTGTTAAAGATACGTATTTTTGCGACAATACCATTCTAACTTAACTTCTATCCAAAGCGGCCAAAAGCGCGAGAGAGAGAAAGGGCTTAATGACGTAAAATACGAGATCGGGCGAGAGGAACACAGGCGAGAATTTAAATTTGTCCTCTTATATCACTTAATAAAATAATTTTTCGTTTTTAAAGTATGCTTACCTAGTAATTGCTTTCATTTCTCGATTTGGAAAAGCGTCGCTATTTTTATTCGCGCCCGAACATAGACCTGGCTCTCTCGCACGTCTACAGACGCTATTGAATTCTCGCTACTATTCCTTGTCAACGCTTCATTCATAGTTGTGTTCAATGGCTAATTCACTAAAATTTCTTTATTGTTGATTACAGCCTGTTTCGCAGCTTTGCGGTCCATCATAGTCGTCGAGCTCTTCGGTTTGGAAAAGCTGACGAATGCTTTTGGACTTCTTTTGTTGTTCCAGGGAGTCGCATCCCTCATTGGAAGCCCATTCGCAGGTACGCGTGTCTAATAGTTCAAACATGCTGATATTTTGTAACAGCAATCTTTTACTTACATCTTATAGCTTTCAACATCATAATCTCGCCTGACCTTTTCGCTGAGCGTGCTTCTTTCCCCTTTTAGCAATCTACAAATCAAATCATTGCAAGACCCTGTGCCGTTTCTCAACGTTAATCATATTCTCTACGTACCTGTATCTACTCAAGCAGTACTTGACAACGTATGGCATTTTCCATATTTTGTTTCTGTTCTTGAGCAAAGTACACAATCCATATAAGATGTCTACTTAAGTTTTATGGACTAACAGGAATTTGCCCCAGCAGAAATATAGGCTTGCTCGTAGGGAGTATAGGGTAAAATACTTCTTTAGGGGCTTAGACGGTTCACACGCAACAGAAAAGTCCATGTCCAAACATTCTGCGCCTAAGAACCTTCTATTACCATTTTAAACCATACGAGCAATTTTTTCATCGTAAAAAATTTACGTATCATTCCAAGTGTTCTTAACATTGTCTTACTCGAGGGTATAAAAGCTTCATCTAACAAATATTGGAAAAGATAACTCGAACAAAATCTAATTTATCTAATAAAGTTAATTTCTTTCACTGCGCTAGATTATATTTACCGGGCGGTCATTTTTGAATTACTTGTTGTTTTCTTTTTGCCGTAAATGACACTCAACTTTTATTTGCTATGTATTGAATTGTCTCGCATCCGAACTATGATGTTCACAAGGTCATTTAAAAGAGGGCCTGTGGCATAAATAGGGCCCAATTTACCCTTTCGTCGAATCGCTGCAAAGAGCGGAAATATCAGCCCCATTTGAAATACTATATGCTGTGTTACTCTCCATCGGCTATTGGCTCGCGGTCATTTGTATTAATAAGCTATGGACGAACGGCGAGTTGTGCAAGACGTATTTCTTACGATGGCTACGACCGCCGCTACCGACGTTTTGTTATTACAATTACGGACACGCAATTGTTGTTTCATACGTGGAAGTGGGTGGACTCTGCACGCGGGTACAGTCGCTACCGCTATCGTGCCAAGTAGGATAAGAAAAGCTTTTTCACCCTTAACGCGAATCGAAGCCATGGCTAACGTATTATATTAACATAGTACACTGATTAGATTAAGCAATTCTCAGAAAACGCTTATTTACCTGCAAACGCAACTCTGCATGCGGTCTAAAACTGTCCTCCTGCTTACTGAGAAAAAAAAGCTCGTTTGCTAAAATACGACAGGATCAGTTTGTCCGGACAATCATAAGGTAGTTGTCTTCAATTAAAGTATCTGAGTGACCCATATTACATTGCATAAAAGCAAGCCTAGGTATTCTTATCCACATTATAACAATGTTCGTCATATTGTTGTAGGTCTTCTCTACGACCTTTCTGGTTCCTACAATTTGACCTTCTACTTTTTTGGAGCTGTGATCGCTGCAAGCGGACTGATGTGTCTACCGGTAAGTGCCGTCATGAAATGGGAGCGACGAAGCAAAATCCACCGAAGCGACGTCGAAATGTCCTGCGGACAATTATCAGAGTGTTAGTAACTATCGTTCGAGAAGCAGCCATTAGACGCCTAGAAAAAAGCCATACATTACGAGAGAAGAAGGCGACGATGCTAGTGCATACAATTAAGCTAATCTGCCAAAGAAGTGCCTATATGGACGGTCGATGACTTCACATAAAGATTTTGCTTTTCCGAGAATAGCGTTTTGAACAGCTGCCTTATGTCCACTACGCGTGAAGGAAGACCTAAGACATCGCTAAAAGCGCCGGCTGAACAGCTGATTATACAATTTCACCGATTCTCTCGTCGATGGTATGCGACCTCGTTGTTCATCGATTTCGTGCCTATTGTATTACCTACATATGAACGTATAGATTCGTCATCTGCTTAAACGACAACTGAAATACACCCCGTTGGGTGCTGTTCACCAAATGAAAACGTTTTCCTCTTCCGATGACTCGCCGCCACTTCCCAACCACCTGCTCACGTGCGCTCTGCTCTGTAAAATATTATATAATAGAAGATATGTGTGTCTGACTGTAACGTAGCATATAAAGTAACAAATGACGTGGTCCGAGGTTACATGTCAATTCTGTTGTCCGGAGTCGATGATATACACACTCATCGCTTGCGGCACCCAATACAAACATCAAGTATTAAGGGTAGTGTTGATTAGAATGATACGACGCCACCTCTACGCCAAATGTAGATAAAATATCTAAACAAATAATACGCTTAATAATTTTAGTTGGCGTCTTATAATCTGATACCCACGCAATCCTAATGTCCGAAAATGACAAGACGTGTGTTTCAAGTTTTTGAAGTAATTTAATAAAAAGTAAGAACTCATATTATATCAGTGATTGTGACAATCGCTAGTATCTAGAAACGTGTTCTATACATGGGCCCGCCAGTAAGACAAACACTAACATATACATGTTTTCTTTATCACCGTGAACCGTCGTCTCAGTCATATTAAAACTAATCGTTACGTTTGTGGTACTATATGCTGTTTTTTTTTTTCTTAAATTTCCTGATAATTAATGTTTTTAGTTTTTACCTAAAAAATAATTTCATAGATTCATTGTATTGAATTGTCTAGCTAAACGTCGTTTTTCTTTTAAATGTTGGTTCACGCAAATGCGTTAGTTAACTGGATAGATAGTAACGTTATTTCGACTACCCGACCCGGTCAACCATCCAAAATAGACGGGACCGCCAAAAGGCACCTCAGAAGGAAGAGAAACACTAGGCAGACAGTAGATGGATTGGCTACGAAGATAGATTGTTTGTGCTTCTATTCTCAGGCACATTAAATCTCACTCGAAAATCAAGGGCCTGTATACCCCATGAATCGAGTAAGGAGCACAGAAAGCCACAGCTTATTGTTCTTTAAGCGACCACGTGTTTTGATCCAAATTATTTTCAGTGGCATTTCTAGGCATGTTTTTACACAGTGATGTATTATAAGTGGCCTGCTATAATCTGGCTGAGTCTGTTATAAATTTACACTTTAGAACGTCACTCATACAAAGAATTGCAGCTTGATCTAGCGTTTTTCTCGAATTTTAACAATAAATTAGTTTATGTGTACGTCGTCGCTCTCTACGGCCCTGTGCTACTCCTAACTAACATCCAATATGGCGTCTGCCAACACGCAGCTCCAAAAGCACGTTTATGCACAAAATTGTTACAGATAACAAAGATCGCTATATTTATATTAATACAAGGAAAAAAAGATGTGCGGTAGATACCCTCAAGTCTCGAATCGGAACTCCATTTCAAAAACCGCATTGATTAACGTTTAATGATAGTGAAAGGGTTCTATGTACTGGGAATATTCAAGAAAAACAGCTGTTATTTATATATTTAAAGGACTCCAATAATATGCAAGCCCATCGATCACCACAACGATGCCGGAGAACATAGGATAAAAGTCGTTAAGGCCGCCCTTGCATTCGTTAACCACACGTTGGTAGAACACCACCTTTCGACAAGAGGCAATTAAAATTATCACCGTACATTTTTGTAATGGACAGTGTCAGAAACCGGCTGCGTAAAACCAAAACATTTCTAATATGACGAAATAAATCGGCTGAAAGATAACAGAAGGTCGTAAGAAGTGATGACGAATGCATAATAGGTTTAGTTGCTTCCAGAAATCGAAAAAATGCTAGGTCAACCTCTAACCGACCGCTATAAGTGACCTTGTAGCCGAAAATGTACAACGGGCCTATGGCAGTTGCCAGATATAGCCAGTTGATTTAAGACACCACCGTGTAAAGACGTGCCTAGACACGCCACTTGGAATAAAAATATTTGAACACCTAGTTACTAAATGCAAAAAGTTTTATCTTTACTTAATTCTTTAAATTTCGTCCAATTCAGCAATTACCAACACCAAATATATTTCGCTCCTCTTGCAATGTTTCGACCGCTAGAAGTTAATAAAACTTTAAAGTCTTTAATAAGACTCATTAGAAGGAAAATATATATTCTATTATTGAGCTTACCGCTAGTTAATAGATTACCCTTGCAATCTACAGCACAGGCAGTGCTTGCCCCTAAATGTGTGAAACTAGATTTGACTATGTAATGGTACACAAAGCGACTATAGTAGAAAGCCAGCTAGACTCAAAGTGGCTCCGCGAATGAAAAAAAGTCAAAACTCCTGTTCACTTATATGAAGTTATAGGGTCTACTCTATTTATAGGTATAAGAATGATCGGTACCGTAAGCTACACGCTTTGTCTAAACATCTCAGCTACCAAAGGACACGACGAAATAAAAACTGTTAGTTACAAAAAAATGGCTATCAGGATATGCATCTCGCACTTATGCCGAATGTTAAGCTCGCATCTGAAAGCCGTGAAATTCATTTACTCTGTTTCTTGCTCGCCTGCTACCAGCTGGAGATAAGTCTACTGGTTTGATGCGCATGAAAAAATTACGCAGTGATTACTTTCTATTCAAGCTTCATTAATTTATTTTGTTAAGTCAGTATAGCCGGAGCTGGTAATAACTTTGTCTAACTTATAGCTTGAAATTGTCCTGGGACCAATTAACACACGGCATCGTGTGCATTTTGAAAAATGTGTAAATTAGTACAATTTACTTAACAATTCAACTCTTCGTCCACGAAAAAGCGTTACTGAACTCTTTTGTTAGCAGAGCTGCCATTATCTCATTATAGCCATCGTGGACAAATATACTTAATGCGAACATCTAAATTCTGTCGCGACGTCTTCAACGACAGTCTTTTGCTATCCCTTCGCACAAGCTGCTCGCTGTTTCGTGTTCCATTCCTGAGGCCGTGGTGGGATATCGTGGCATACAATTAGCTTTGAGGCGGGTTCTGCCGCCTCGATGCTTGACAAAATTCTAAAGTTGATCCCATTCTTGAGTAACTATGTCGGTGGCAGTAGCGGACCCAGTGGGTCACGAGGCGCAATGATAACGACGACGACAGAATGCGTCAACTGTGCAACCAGCGACCGGTCCCTGTTATGGGAAAGTGGTCGCCACTTAAGTCAATTATGTTGCAGGGTGAGTTTGTACCGCAAGACTTTTCTCTCTACTAACTCATTATTTTTCTCGAATCATCCGAGCGAAAAATCACAGCCTCTTCCCCTGTCCCGGCGCTTGCTGCCTATTCCCCGCGGCTTTCTCAGTATTCAGCCGAGAAACCCCTCGTGCTGTTCAACGCACTAATGTGTACGTTCTCTCGCATGAACATACCAAGTGCTGTCATTACATGACACTCATCACTTGCCACCAGGGAAACGATGTCACTAGGAGTACAACAAGTGGGCGAAATGCGGGTAACGATAGGGGCTCTCATCCTTGTATCGACTTCTTCGTAGGGTTACATAAACGAAAGCATTCGTTCCCTTCGACTAAATGGCACCTGTAGATAAAATGCCACTAGCACGAATTTTAATCAATGGAAGCAAAGCAGCATTTCTCTGCGACTGGCCTATACGTATCCCTTGGGAATATGACAAACCGTGTGCGATCCCTCCCCTCACCGAGCCAGCCCCGCCTTTACCGGCCACGGCCAGCATTACCCCCGTACGGATTATCATTTTTGGACGGCGCAACGTCACGAACAGTCAAAGAAACAAGTGGCGGTTGAAAATGTAGCGATACGATTTTTTTGTAAGCGGGAGCGTTCTTGTCACTGGTCAACACAAACTTAGTTTGAAACGCTCAGATCAATTACTGCTACCAAACGATGTAACGTTGTCTTTATCATTTGCAGAATACTTTAAAGAGCAAGTTAGAAAACTGGCTACTTAATTATAAGCAAGAAAAATTATAGTTGAGTCAACCGAAAAATGATTCCCTTTAACATTGGATAGGTTAAAGCGGAAAACTTAGGCAAATAGCCCATTTAATCTACCGTGTTCGTTCTTTGTGAATTGCCCCGGCTGAAGAGCAACGAAGCAGACCGCCCCAACAGAAATACAGATCTTTGGATTTCGGACTAGAATATAAACGACCTAGCACCAATTCCTCGTGAAGCATTATTACTTTACGCGGCCAGCGACCAAGCCTATTCACGGCCGATTGATTGGAAGTTTGTCAGCAGGCTGCACGTGATGTCCCCTGATGTTACCCCTCTTCTAGTCATCGTTGATGATACCCACGCTTGCTAAGACCAGCCGAACCCAAGCTGCACTATTTCCCCCAAAGCATGCTGCTGAAACACAGTTGATCAATACTCAGTCCTACCCAGATACAAACATGCCTCGCACATACTAGAGGTTCGATTATCGATATATCTGCAGTGACCGTAACCAGTGACCGAATAAAGTGTAAGCTGGAAATCAGTCAAACACAGAGGCGTAAGTATACAAGCTCACATGCCCATGGCCCTATTGCCCGAGTAATATCGCCAAACGCCAACCTTTGCCACAATGACGTCTGGATGTGGACAAGTTACTGGAACGTGCCGCGACCTTCTTTAGGTACTTGGAGAAGTAAACACCAAAGTTTAAGCACAGTATCTAGTCGAAATTCTCGAGCCTACGGTACAACCCCTTCTTCTTCCAAGGAAACGTAACACATGGTTTGACTACACCTTTAGCCTTGCCCATAGGGTTCAAGTAGGTTTCAGATTTTTAGTTGAGGTACAGCCCGTTTTCTGTATGCTAAGCTACGTGTTCAGAACGCTCTATCGATAAACTTATGTACCATAGCGGCAAAAGTATTTAAAGCAGCTGGAGGCCCGTTTGATCGCCTATGCAGAGCATCGCCTATGCCTATGCAGCTATAACCCGATTGTCCCTGATTAGTTCCTTGACCTCCATCAATAATTTTTCAAATGTTTGCATTATAAGATACGACATTTCCTGTGCGATTTTTGCTGTAGCTTGGGAAAGAATGCTCTTAATCCAACGCAATATCTCTCAGCAAGAGTTCACAGTGCGGGAACTTACAGAGGTCTCGGGAATCTATCCTGCAAGAGAGCTGTGGGCCAAAACAAGGTTTGCAATGAACATTTTAAAAGCATCTCCATTCTTGCATTGTGTTGGTGAGCACTATTTAATGAATGTTTTTGTACAGTACACGCCCGGCCCAGAAGAGAAATACTATTTTATTATTAATATTATCACGAAATGTTTATGGATGTTAAAATTGCATTGTGAATTCGATTTTTTTTAAGTCTAAAGCCCCTGGGGTTTTGAGGTTCTTTAATTTTAAAATTTTAAAACCTTAGGATTGCTATGCCTGATTAGGTAGACTGCATAGTGAGGGTACTGCAGCGCGTGATGCTGCGCGGTACTTGGGGTATATTGCACCATATCTTGTACAGGTACGCGTAACATCAGGCAAGTGACCGTTCACTGACCTAAAAAAGCTGTGAAAAACCCATACACTTCAAAATGTATGAATATGTCGGGTCGTTCTGTTTGCTGCTCTACAGGCTATATTAGTACTCCCGTCCGTGGCGTGAAGATCGATATCGATATCCGTCAATATTTTCTTTCCCATATACTAATAAACTTCAACTAGGCAAAAAAGTAGCGGCAAGTTTAAGTTGTAGTAGTCATAGGTTATCATAGGCTAGCGCATAACTGATTTATTAAATTTCACAGTCGCCTTCCATGAGGACGGTTTGTATGTCCTTTAGGTATGACTTCATTCGACCTTCCTGATAGACGGCGCTTTCGTAAGTAACCGTTAAATATTCATGTTTAGCATGGGAATATTTCAGTTACATTTGGCAAGTGTTTATTGGGGTTTAGGTTTGGCCACATCGTCTTATTCAACTGGAGTTTTCCAGGAACTGTAGTGCCTTAAACACAGCGAGATCGGCCGCTAGTGCTTCGCGTATCAACATTTGTTCATCTATTTATCGTATTAGGAATCCCCAAGGAAAAAGGTATCCAACCACGCTGTCGCCATCGCAACTGTTGACAATCGCAAAGAAAAAGTTCGTTACAATTTGCTCTTCGGCCTGTTGACTGACGTTTTCTGTGTTCCACGTCCGGCATTTAATCTTTTAGGCATAACTTAAGATGGCTGGCTTCCGACGCGAAATGAAGTGAACAAATCTAGATCATCACGTGTTCCGATGTTTAGCAGACAAACGTTGCGTAATCATGGGGCCGCCTGATATAGAAACGACTAAACAACTACTAAAAAAACGCACATGCCATTCCCATAAAGCACCAATAAGTTCCACAGAAATGGCACGCAGGTCGACGTTACAAGAGCACGCAATTTTCTGTACGCTGTATTTGCCGATTTCTCGACCTCGTTCATGTCGGCTTGACACCCAGGAATAAGCTTAGGTTCGCGCTGATCTTCACAAAGGTCTCTATGAACGTGTTTAACAAGTGTAGCAGGCTTAGGGTACGTTAACCCGGCTTCATGCGACATATACGGTGGCACGAAGGGTAAATCTGATTGAGGCAGAGGCCGTAATGTTTAAAAAAGAGAGAAGGCAAAGCAGCGGCCACTAACATTGCAAACCTCGCCAAATCACCTCTTACTAACGTCGACTAGTTTCCATATTGGAAGTTACTGATCTCTGTCGAGGACAGGAGTTTTACCAAGCTATAAGAAAAACCTCTGGGAAAGCAGTGGTGGCTGCATGCACAATCAAATCGCACCTAGTCGTCGGCCTCCCTTCTGAAAAAGTAATATAACTGCACGCCACTGGTCGCCATTTTACGCTCCCGGCAACACAAGCCTTCAAGACTAACCTTAAAACTGATTATGAGCAACAATTTGAGTACATTGATAGGGTTGCGATGAAAATCAGTGCATGAAAGAGGATGAAACGGCCTAAATGACATGTCGTGACTCGCTCTGTCGTGCATGGGTTCCATCATAAACTCCACAGGGAACAGACTTTTTTGATTTTGATGACATATATAGATGCTGTAGATTCGGAGAAAACTGGTGTAATAGATATCATTGTCCCCGTTATCATCTTTAAGGGGTTTTAAAAATTACTTACATTCATCTATTCAACTATTTTGGTACAATCTATATGACACGAAAGTGTCCTAATATTTTTATATCTACGCTGATCTTATGATACTGTGTTAATAGTTTACATATATGAGATGTCTGACTGCGCTCGGCAAAGTAAATTCTATTGATATGTCTAGCAATGAGACTCGTTGTGATAACGGAGAAAATATCTAAATATAATTTTAAACTCAGACAAACGTCAGAAAACATGGTCAGAGAAGGAAGCCCCTATGGTATTATCAATGTTGATATTTTTCTTCTACTTCTCCATAGTTAGAACATAGGTATGCATAGATATACGGAAAATCAATGTCCATCACTTTATTTGTGAGACAGCTAGATTATGTAATTTCATAGAACCGTTCACAAGTTACTGTGGCTCCTATGAAGGGTATAAGGTCCACGTGTCGGGGTCGAGCTCTACACTTATTAGCTCACGGTAGAGTGAAATTGCTTTGTCAAATCTAAAACTAAGCTTGAGCAGCGTTGCATAAAGCGTCTCAAGAAAACGAACGGGGCTTGTTTGCGTACGCCAAATCATATTCAGAAGTGAATATCAAAAATATCGACAACGAGTTCAGGTAAAATGTAGAATGTGTAATTTGTATATCCTGATTCTGATTTACTCAAATGGCGTATCGTTTCGTTGGAGTCAAGTCGACAATTTGTTTTAAAGGTTTTATAGAATGATCGCGTGAAATGGGGTTTCTAATCTACTTAGTAGAGCATTAGTCCCAGAACAATGGATTAGGACGAATCATGTTTATGGTTAGATAAGGAATTAAGAAGCGTCAAATAAATGAGAGCAGTAGCTATATATATATATATATATATATGTATATGTATAAGTCGTTTTTTGTTGCGATCCGCGCTCACAGAAAAGAAAGATAAGGAGGAAGCTTAATCGGTAATGCAGGGTGCTACAACAAACGACACAGCGATACCTTCATTTCGCGAAATTCTAGCCTAGACGAAACACTAGCTGTCTTCAGTTTTGGGGACTACCATACAATATATATATATATATATATATATATTTCATTTTTTAAAAACATCCTCGACTAGTTTTACTAACTGAAGACATATCATTGTCATGGCAGACTGGACACGAACGTCTATGGGATGCTGATACTAGGCCGATTAATCGAGAAGAGTATGCTTTTTCGTTGAGTGCACATCCGACTATGAAAACTGATCACTTTTCCGAGAGAGAGAGACAGGCACTTTTCCGAGGCCTCTTTTCCTTTTTCTTTCATTCTTCCTTTCTTCTTTTCCGACACCGCAAAAGGTCCAGCCTAGACAGCTGCGCAAAGGCTATGTAAGATGTACTTACAAAAGTTATCAGAGTATGATGGCTAATATCGGCTCATTCTGCTTTGGGTATCTTATTTTCGTAAAATAAAGGAGAAATGGCCTGTGTTAGTCTACAATGGTTAGACGCACAGCTCAGCTAGCATATAATAGTGAGGCACGACTAACTGTTCGACTAGATATCACCATTTCCTGAAAATTTTTCAAAAGTTGACCAAAAGGAGGTATTGATGAAGATTTTGTGTTTTTTCGCCGTGTCAACTCGATTTTGTCAGAAATTGAACTTGCCACTGCCTGCTGTAGAATGTTGAACCAAGACCTATTATTTGGTCCAATGTCATTTTTTAGCGATAAGTGACCGATCAGAGTTTTCGCACTTCCTAAACGCATTTAGATCAGTGGACCCAATCTCCACTTCTTCTACTCAACGGCCGGTGGCTGTCTTAGTTGACGATGTGAAAAAACGGAAATCCTAAAGCAAAGCAGCGCCGTTGCTACACCTCTGGCTAGGCCACGTGATGGACAACTTGAACAAGGCGATTCGAGCTGCTTCCTCTACATTCTCCACTCGACCGCTTTAACACAATCCACAGTATTTTGCACAGCAAGTTATTTTATCGCGGCACTCATATTTTCCATGTCAACTTACTATCGGAAAGCTGAAATCCCCTCTCCTACGCGTTCTCCGTTACAAGCCACCCGCGCACCTCCTTGCTTTCTCTCTCTCTCTCTCTTGTAGCACTATTTGTCGAACACACGGCGTCTGATATCTGTTCGTATACATGGGAAATGTTACAAAATGAATGCTATGGTGGCTTTCTAGTTCATTTTAATATATTTTTTTTTTGAAAATCAGATTTCATTGACCTATCCATACGCAATTGTTTAGCATTAAAACAAAATATACTTCACTTGTCATATTTGATTCCAAATTATTCCAAATTATCCAAAGGTATTCCAAATTAACGTCACAATAAACTACAATTGTAGGTTGGCATTATAATATCCTGATGGGTATCTTTATAAACAAGCTTTGCATGTTAAATTTAATTTCATTTACATCAAATTGCGTTTCGTATAAGCGTTTTGATCATACAAATGCTAGACCTTTCATATGAGTAATCAAATTTCTAAAACTTATAAAACAAAGTTCACAGGACAAAAAAGGTCTATGTCAATACCTGATTGACCTAAACGCTGGAATGACATCTTACTACGGCACCATATTAACGCTGAGTGAATATTTCCACATGTCTCTACACTTACTTAAGTCTGCTATTGGTGGGTATCCACCACGAGCTCATTGCCTCTCATCTCTAAACATAAGGGTGATTTATCACGTTTGAAATGGAAACAAGATAATCATAAAATCTTGTTTATACAAGCCTAAGCGTATGGAACTCACGTTGTTCAGCAAATAAAAGTTTTTAATGCGAATGCCTACCACTTCAGACAACGACTGCAGAAGAAGGTCTAAATTAGCCTACTACACCATCCATGTTCGTGCCATAACAATGACGGACGTGAATTTTGAATGGACAATTATATTTCGTTTTAAACTTTATTACTGTCGCTGGCCGCCGGCGGCTCCTAGGTCTCGGTTTGCACGCCAGAGATATAGGACTCAATTTCCGAAATAGTGCGTGGAACCTTTGTGAGGTTTTCACAGCCCGTAGCCGTGATTACAACGTTATCCTCGATGCGAACTCCTCCAAAACCTCGGAATTCCGCTATCTTATCGGGCACAAGAAACTGAACCTGAGCAGGATCCTTAAAAGCCTGATCGAGCAGACAATCGATGAAGTAACAGCCGGGCTCAATGGTTAGAACCATATTCTCCTGCAAAAATTAAAGCGTAAGCATGAGCAATTGATCCTCTGCAGCCTATGCGTAACACCTTCGCTTATTCTCTAACTACTAAAAGTAGATACCGATCTTGTTATGCCCAAAAAAGAAATATGAAATTTACATAAGTTTCGGAACTGTGGAGATCTTAGTAACTACTGAGCATCAAGCACAAAAGATTTAGTACTATAAAAGGTTGAAAAATACTCCAATCGCATTGGAATTCCTGTTTTCATATAGAAATGACTGGCACGTTATTTCAAAGAGAAAGCTGAACATAGTTTCAGCAAGGCTTTTGGCAAGCATCTCTAGATGTTTAGCGCCTCACTTTTTTGTGCACGAGGCGTGCTTCAAATTGAATAATTTCTTTCTCGGTCCTAACCAGTTGCGCTATCGGATCACCGCACAACATGTCCTAACTACCATTAGTTCTAAAGACGCAACAGATATTGAGTTGGCGCCCGTTTGCTCCGGGTTAAAGTGAAGTTGACGCACCTGCAATGTTCGTGCTGTACGTAGATTCCTTAATCCCTTTTGATCCGGTCGTTTTGGACACGTATCGAGGTAACCGCCCACGTCATGGACATCGCAGCCTATCAAGTGGCCTAAACCGTGCGGCATGAACACGGCCCCCAGACGAGCCGACATCATGGCTTCCAAATCTCCTTGTAGCAATCCGCCAGCGATAAGGTCACCTAAGATTTTCCTGTGATATTGCCAAAATTGATACGGATGTTCGCATAAAGTAGAAGATATAGGCACCGTTTCTTATTAATATGTGCTTCTATACATTTGGCACTGATTTAAAGGAAAAACCTCATAGTGTTTTAGTTTTTGTTTTACAGAGACAGTGGGCAGTAACAAAGAGCATCCTTCATCACCTTTCTGCAAGGAGATGCATGTCTATCCAACTAACTCCGGGTTTGACTGCTTTCATCACAGCCTTGTTTGCATGGTACACCGCCTGGTATATTAGCCGCTGTTTGTCACTGAACTTCCCGCTGACGGGGAACGAGCAGGTAATATCCGAGCAATAGCAGCTGTACTCACAGCCCATATCAAAGAGGCACATATCTCCTTCATGTAGCGTCCGCGTATTGGGTGCACCTGCGTGTCCATAGTGGAGGACAGCACTGTTTTCTCCAGTAGCTGCGATACAGGTGTAGCACACGTGACGGGCGCCACCTTCTGAGTAGCAGTGGTGCAAAAAGAGACTTTCCAGTTGGTATTCCTTCATGCCAGGTCGAACAGTTCGCATCACCTTTTTATGGGCTTCAGAGCTCACCTCGTTGGCATACCGGATTACCGCTACTTCCTATAGCCACAACGTAAATTTAAGAAAATAGACTTGTATATAACGTGCTAGACCGAATAACACACTGGCCACTAAAAAAAAACAACAAACATTTAAAGAGTTATTGACCCTGACGCTGCAACGTCTTATACCTCAGGGGTTTTAATCACACGAAGTTCGCAAATCTCGTTATAAAGGAGCGAACGGTCTGTTTTGAATTGATCGATGTCGTTGAAAGTTGCTGCCGCCGTCTTTAATTTAGAGTCGGAATTGACACCTTCAAGTAAGTAGATCATCTGAGCGTCCTTTTCCTGAAATGGATAAAATATGGTTTGGAAATCATACTTTTCCCTTTCTATCATTAGAGCTACCTGCAATCGATCTCAAAAGCGAAGGGTTACCGCACCTAAGGATTTGGTGCAAAATTCACTCAGTGCTGCTGTTAACTGAAATCCTTGTAATACTGTTCGGTGCTATAGAGAAGGAAGACAGCGTCGAAGCAATTGTGGCACCATCTTGTGTATAACAGCTTACAACCAAGTCGGCAATCGAATTATAATGAAATCGTTTGAAAAGATATATCTATATATCTGCTTGAATCGTAGATATGTCTATAATGCACGCATACATATGATGTGTGCATAATAATTCTGCCAACTTTCGATCCATCAAAATGAAGATCTGCCGAACCTTGAAGAACGCGACAATTTCGTCTGTGTAACGCACTTCATCAGTACCATATTTCGCTTTGAATTCTTCCGTAGAAAGAATATGTCCCAACCAGACGGCGTATTCGCAAGGCCGACGTGGTACAAATAGAACTGATCGACCGGTCTTTACCTATAATAATAAAAAGTATTTATTAAAATAAAACATTCACTTAGACTATACATTATTACAATTCCATTTTTGATAACTTGAACTATCTTCAATCAGAAAAATACTTTGGCTTTTCTGGTAATAGCTTTGATCTGCGCCATTTAATAATGCCTGACTTTCTACTGGATCACGCCAAAGATTTCGAAAGTCTTTTCAGCCTTCAATCGAACAAATCTTTTTTTTCAAACCTAAATAATATTTTTCTCACGCAGTAAGGATAATATGGTAATAGCAGTAGTTGTTTGCATACTTCGTATTAGACTAGCTAACGACTACATGACCCACCGTAAGGCTCTGCTCTTCATAGTGATTATTTGGAATGGTCTTGAAGGCAGGAATCAAATTAAGCTTTAGAGCTTTATCACCACTTCTAATGATATACATGTTTACACTCGCTATTTTCCTATAAGGAAATTTAAGGTAAAAGAAGAATTATCCATATAGTGCTTCTTGGTACAGCGGTATTCTAAGCACCGAGCCATAAAATAACTAATAGTAGTTACATGACAGTTTAAAAGCTAAAAAATCCGTTTCGCGTCTCGTTGAACAGAATACAATATAATCATACAAATGGCATTGAATTATATCTATAATGAAATAAATAAGAGTAATAATAAATACAAATTTTTAAAAAATCTATAAATAAATAAACAAAGAACATAAATAAAAAATAAATTATATGTGACTCCGGCGAAGATCATTCACATGATAGCGTTAGTTAAATGCCGTTATAATAACAGTAGCCGGCATTATAGCTCATTTCGTAATGTTATTACTGTAATATTATCGTAATTTGTTTTCAACCTTATCAGGTACCTTATATGTAAATAATACAAGCACTCCAACTTCAACTTTTTATAAATTATCAAAGCAGAAATTAAAATACGAAACACGGAGCGCTACGACTGCGCTGTTTCTCGGACACAAGTTATATACACAGATAATATGCTTTAGATATATGTACTGTTACTAGATTTAATCTTGCTGTCGGAAACTGGTCTTCCAGGCCAGTTCTCAACATTTTTTACTGCCGTTAGTGAGGAGGTGTACTTAGTGTAAACAAATAAAACGACGATCCCATTCCTGTGTAGCTTTCACAAGTTAGAAGCTATCTGTTACGGCCGATATTGAGAGAAAACCAAGGAGATTACTGCTACGGACCTCGACTGCACCGAGGCAATCGGGCTCTTCGGCACCGAACGCCCAATGGAAGAATGACTCTTGACGGAAGAGATTTTCCCTATCCGTGCAGTACAAAAATGAAGATTCACCGCCCTTCAGTAGTACAAACGATTTTTCCTGCAAACAAAGACAAGCATCATGAATGATGCTGTTAGATTCATCTATATCATAACCAACAAAGCTGAAACCTCAGCTCAACACTTTATCCAAAGAAAACACTTCTTCCTGAAAATGACAGACAACCCTAAATACGCTTACAACTATCTAAAATTTTGCGACTCATAATAGCAGTAAAATTCTATACTACGCGTTGATGTACGTAAAATCACGGATAAATTAGTTTCCTAGGTTCCCCTTTTGTCCTGAGACAGTTGCACATAAAGAACACGCACATTGGAGGGTTTTTTATTGCAATGAACTTATGTTTTCATTATTCGCTAGTCTTGCTACAAAAATGACTGCCTGTATTTTTAAAATAAACCTACACTCATCATGGCGGATTTAGACACTTCGTCTTTGAAAAACGGCAAAGATTAGCTTGTGTTTCATGTCTACAGGGTAAGAAACGCGACAGGAAACGCATCGTACGGACTCTAAAACTACTTGAGAGAATGTTCAAGAGTGCGTCTTTGACAATACTGCGTTTTGTCTAGCGGCTAAATTTAACATGGTGGTAAATCAATAGCTCGGACTGCACTGAAAGCAATCAGGTCAGCTTTCTGAAGAAAGTACTCCTGAGCTTCCACGAACGCGCTCCGAGCGTTGTATCCAGAAAACACCGCCATACGTCTTGCAAAAAAGCGCATTCAATAACGAAAAGGCTTATGAGAACGTTCTAAGAACGACGGTATAAGTTTCCAAGATTACCATGTAGACTAAACGTTTTCCATCAAAATGATGCATGCCTTCATACGGGCAAATCAGCGCAGCAGTGGAGCGGGCTTGCTGACCAAGTTTGAAAACCAGGCCTTGTGGCCGTTTTGCTACACAGAATTGAATCCAGTGCATGACTGCACCACGTATGACCTAGCAAGGATCTAAAAAAGTCTCAGCAGAGCAAAATCGGCTCGCTCACTGTTTTTATTTAAAAGATGTTCAAAATAAATATAATGAAGTAGCTTTTAGTATAGGCTTACCCACCACACCAATTAGTACTAGTGAAAATTCTGCAGGAAGATATTGATAACGCTGATAACAAAAGTCAGCATAAAATGTTACTGAACAAGGCAATGAGCAATAGCGTCTAGCGACGGACGGTAAGATAAACCTACCTGTATCACGTAAGGCTTTGCGAGCAAACGCGCACTCAGCCGTTGCCGATTCTTTAGATACAAAGTCATGGGGACCTGAAGGGTTTTGAGACCCCGAAAGAATGCCGGTTCCATCTCCTAATAAGGAAGTAAAATGGCTGTTAGCGTTAGTCTCGAACAAAGTACCTATTAGAAAGATGAGTGAAGCGAATGTGCTTAACCACTATAGTTAACTGCGTATTTTTAGTATCATATATTCGGTACAGCGTCCATGTTCGTAAATGTATATACAATGCGAGAGCTCTTGCTAGATCGTAGTGATTTGAATTTTTCTTCAGACATCTATTGCATGTTACCGTTAGTATTATAGCTTTCAAATAGTCAGTGGCTAACGCATTCGCCAGTTGTGACTCAAGCTAGTTATGCTACTATTCTCTACAATAACGGGCCTCCCCTAAGCCCTTCTCCGATACGCACCACGTTCACGAGCCGCCTATCACGGCGGAACGGAATAAGTCAACTTATATCACTTTGCTAGTCACACGCGTAAGTGATTAACACCGATAAATACATTCGCTAGGAATAGGAGCTGGTTAATTTGACTAGAGATCCGCCTGCAACGAATCGGCCTCATCCAGACGGATTGTACTAAGCTTACGATAACTAACAGGATAAGTATTCAGAAAGTTAGATATAGGCTATTAAATGAGCGTCTGCTCAGTTTAATTGGTTCTTAGCCAACCGGATCTCAAAATACGTATACGAAATTTCATACTGACGTCAATAGTTATGGCTCTGACCAGCAATTTTTCATGACATAGTAGAATTGCAATCGAGCATGCAACATCATAATTGGTGAATATGGAATACGATTCCGAGCGCAGCTAAACTGTCCAAATACATTAAATTGACATTAATAAATTCAGCGATCGAAAACTCCATCCGACCTTTCATACATTACAGACGTACGCCGGCGATTAAACGCGCCATGAAATCTTTGAAGATACAAATATTTCATGGCGCGTTTGGAAAGAAGAACATCTTTCCACAACACCCCTATTGAATACTCAGGAAATTACTCTGCTCTTTTAAAAATGCGTTGCAACGCACCAGTTTGCCTAGCTTTTGTTCGCATCAGTAAATACTGCGGTCGATAATTCATTGGTGAAGTTTACTATTTGGCAAGCTCCTAGAAGTGTACCGGTCACCTGAAGAAGACTCCCTAAATCGTTTTGACATAGTATAAACGTCCTGGGCTTAGAGTAGGAAGGTCACATGGTTCAAGAAGATTTGACTACACGCTCAACACTTCTGAGAAAGTGAATTTGTCGAGCTAATTCATTATCTGCTTTGTAAATAAAAAAAAAGCTTACATTAGGTAGCGTGGGTATTATAATCCAGTTGAAAAATGGGCACGATATCATAACAACGGCATTTTGTAGTCAGTTTATCAAAGCTTGATGATAAACTCTCGATAGACGCTAAGTCAGATTTGATAGGCATTAAGAAATAGGTAATTTTTCTGCCACGTATCGACAAAGTAGTGCGTACCTTAACTTTTGAAAGGCCATCAAAAATGACAATGGTAATATAATCGTTGGATAATATCCGTTCGACAGAACGTAAATTTGAATGTACGGCTCAACGTTGTACACTTAATGTTCTTTATATTTTCCACACTTATTTTGTGGGAGCTGAAACTCTGCGGCTTTTCATGTATATTATTAACTTAAACTAAAAGAAAAGTCGGAACCATAACTGTTTTATTGTTGTGCATCAAAATCCTTCTGAAAAGGAGGTTTACTTTAATTATTGATGCACAACTCTATAAGTTACAAATAGACGCGTTAAATAAATCTTCACCAACGTAGATAGGAGCTAAAGAGACAAGAAGCTTCTCTCGAAAAAACTGATGATCTCTTGAAGAAATTAAAAGGTTCCTTTGTTTTAGCTGAATATAGGCAAGGGCACTATTATAGAAGCCTGGTTTATCATGTGGGTGCAAATACATTGAAATGTGCTTACAGTTCATAAACGACTAAGAAATATGAAGCTCATGAGTGGTATATTAATTTTGAAGCAAAGTTTCATTAAAAAGAAAACGAGTCCCCTTCGGTTCATAATTTGTCACTGCTCTGTATTGGGCGAAGCCACAGTTCTTGGTGGCAAATATAAAGAATTGATATTCCATTTTAATCGTCTTACATGTGAAGTGATAGCTTATTGATACCATCTATACACCACCATATATACAAACGGCGTAGAATGTTAAGATGCATTTTGTTTAAGAAAAATTCCAATTAGTGGATGAAATATTTTTTTTTATATTGTAAAAAAATATAGCATTAATTTAGTATAATGAACACTGTATTTTGCCTATTTAAAGATGATATATGCTACCTATACACTTTACGCAAAGTCTATTATCATCAAAATGATTCTGATCTACATACTTGGTTTGAAGTAAAAGTTGTCATCTCCTATACATGTTTCTAAAATCGAAACACATCAACTGGTCGAAATTATTAAGGTCAATTCACTCATTTTTGAGTCGGTGATATCGTAAATAAACATTCTACTTTTGATCCTCACTTAAATTGGGTGAGCATTGCATGTTTCGTTATACCCGTCCCTTGGCATGATCTATCAAGCCTTTCACAACCATATTTCAAAGTAAGAAAGAGAGTAGCTGAGACGTATTTTCTTTTCTGATTTTACTTTTCCCAATCGATTAAGCACTGCAACCTAGAGTTGTTGGTATAATCCTGAATTCTGAACGCGAGGTCTTCAGTAAGCTCGATACAGCTTCCACTGTTGTTCGATTCGAGGTGGCCTAGGTTCAAAACAAAGCTCAAACGCATGGCTTTGTCCTTGCGCGACCTGACCGTCTAAACCAATACTTAAAGACAATAGGATCGAATATGAAACTCAAAACACCTAAATATTTAACTATCACGTTCTAATTATCCTGTGTCCTGTTGTAGATGTCATTTTTCTTCTATCAATCATGTAATTCTCTCATTGCAATTTAGCCCTTGATATGTTATCTTTTTGTAGTCACTATATTTATCTCTAAAGGTGATCTTGACTTTTAAAATTCTGTATAGAGATCAAGCCGCTTGTGAAACCAATGAAGCGAGTATAATAAAAACATCCATATTTCCACGAATTCACACGAGAATTTCCTGCGTAAGATACTTTAATATCATCAAAAATGGATGCATAGCTCGAAAAATGAAACTTACAGTTTAATGTTACGTAAATCTCTCATTCGTTCCTGCAAAAATCATTTCAGCACGGAAAAGTTGCTATCAAGCCGATACAGTTCGTTTTCGTTAAGTTGTGTGTGACTAAAAAACCTGCTTTACATCTTTAGGCAGAGTTTAGTGTATTTCGACACCGTAGTTTTTGCACGCTGAAGTATTGTCAGCCTATTTTGTTTACACTGTATATATGTATGTATATATATATATACATATGAATCATTCGAAATTGAAAATAGAAAGGCCGACACTTGTCGTTCAGAAAACTGTCTTTTTTAAGTCAAGCGCTTCTTTTACGAATTTTCCTAAATTAATTTTCCTCAGAGCGTCAAGAGGATGCAGAAGAAAATTGTGCGATCGAGCCAGAATTGATATATAATATATATAACACGTATACATATGTAATGGTAAATCACCAAACTTCACAAAACTTATTGCGTTACAGGAGTATTTATTAGTTTAAAGAGAATACTGGAAAAGGTACAGGATTTATGCGCTTACTTTTCTCCATCACTGAATTTGTTTCTGCTCGATTATTCATAAAAGGACTTGGAAATAGTAACGCTGGTTGCTAGCTGGCCTCAACAGCACCTTTGAAAGACAATTTGCAGGCATTTTCCTCACCTCGTCGGAAATGTTCACATTCACGTGAAAAAGTACACAAAATTAATACATACTGGAGGTTTACATGAAACGCGCTTTCTGAACTAGCGGCGTACTACACACGCAACTGATGGGTAGACAAAAACCTCTAAGAGTATTCAAGACACAGTTTTACTTGACCGCCTTCGGCTCAAACTCGATCGATGTTAGAGCAAAAACTCTAGGGAACAAGCGGAACGGTAGGCGATAAGAGCTTCTACGCTTTACTGAGATCGTGGCCAACCCGCGATCTCACTTTTATACTCGTCGCGGCAAGAAAGCGTTCTAATGAACTGATTTCTTCCCCTGAAAAATCGACTTAAAAGTAATCACAAAGGCTTTGCACGAATTCTATTTCACTATTTCGAAATAGTATGCACCCTCTGGTCATCTGATCATTCTCGCTCCATAGCCGATCATTAGACAATCGATTTGATCTTTTTTCATTACAGTACAGAACATTGCTGATCTCGCCGACTCCGATCCGAGCTCTAATAGCTCCTCCGGTCGATCACTTTAGACGAAATTAGAATAAATTAATTTAGCTTGGTTGTTAGGAGGTAGACGGGAGAGGCCTACTAACACTACTAAGTTATTCGAATTCAAATAAACTCTAGCGGGCTGTTTATTACAGCGGGCATGCGTTCACCCATTACTAGTGGCATTAGAAAAATGCCAGTTCTTTCTGAAACAAAAGAGAAAACTTGTGACCGCAAAAAACAATATATTGCTTTTGAAATGTGAATGAAGATTATCTATTATGCAATCTTCCTTATACAGGACGAACTCCCACCAAAATTAAAAACTTCTTTTTACCCGAAATCAATGATTTTTGTTACCTTTAGTTATCATGCGGCTGCCGAAGAATCCGAAAAAGGTTTTCATAAGGCCAACCGGAAGGTTCTTTACAGAGTTTAAATTTGAAAGGCTCAAAGATTCCTCAAAGTGGCTTGAAAGCGATTTTAATATACCTGGATTTCTTATGTAGAAGCTAATGGCCATCTTGAGTAAAAAAAATATATTCACTGCCAAATGGGTTACCCCAGATAAGCTCCAACAATTCTTTTTTAAGATTTTTTACACCTCCTAGGGCTTTTGATCGTTGCAAGTTTTCGCATTTTTGGAACTTCTGACACGACATCAGCTCAAGATTTAGCTACGCTGGGATTTTTATATGTCGCGTATTTGAGCAATATCGTTACCCGTTTACACCAACAAATATTATTTTATGTACAGTTATTATTAAATTATTTACAAATTGAAAAGGGAATATATTGAAAATTACAAGTGGTAGTATTGGTCCCATATTAAAGCTGTAATCGCGATGAACGGCGCTCATGTTGACAAAACGTCCCCTCTAGAAATAATACTTTAGCATATACGAGAAATTTTATTGTGGGGTCTTGTTTGCAGTCTTATAAACAATTGACAAGAACAAAAATCCAGACTTGAAAGTCTTGCCCTGTATAGCCACTGACGCACATTTATTGTCAAGGTCAGATTAAATATATGTAGTAGTTAAGAGCACATCTGCGTTCTTAACTAATGTATGTTCTAACTAAGCATGTTAAGGCCCTTTTTTCGCTCAGCAACTATCTATTTTTGAAGTTAACCCAAGGCAATCTTTGTTGAACTCAAAAAATCGAGTCGAGTGCGTTAGTCGAATCGAAAACTTCCTTCTAAGCGTAGTAAGTCACTTACAAATGGCGCGCTAAACTACAGAGTGCTTGCCATCCATGCCGAACCTGATTCGACTTATTTAGTTAGCTTTTTGACCTCAATGGAATAGGTATAGAAAATACTGTGTTTAAACTGAGAGTAACACACACAGACATACTCATTCTCAACTCACATAACATACCCGTTATTAAATTCAAAGAAAACATGCAAGAACTTTATATACAAGGAACTGTAAATCTCAGTCATTCAATTCGATTGCTTGTTAGCGACTGTATAAAGCGACGCATTCTGGTATAAGGTCTTGTTTTCGAGCAGGTATAAAGTTGTCGCCCTTCGCTACTAATGGTTTCACTAAGAAATCTTCTGTGATTCTCCCATATTGCTAGGCTAGCAATTGTCAAGTCATATGCTGCTAGGACAATCTTGTAAGATATTTCCGATGAAATTATTTAAATGTTTATTTGCTGGTATCACACTTCTTTTGGTGCGAAGGGGACAGTCGTTCATCATTAAGATGTAAACTCGATCAAGTACCGTAATCTACTTTTTTCCTCCGACACCTGCTATCGAAGAAAATAACTCTCAACGAGTATTTTCTAGCTCTAAGATGGAATACGTGCTTAAATCGTACCAGCTGTTTGCCAATATGCGAAAGAACTCAAGTATGAGTTCTTATAATTATAAATTTAAGTGAAAAGCTTACAACAACCGAATCATGCAGAAATATTGGATTTTAGTTATGTTATATTAAGACGACTCCGACGGTTTTTGTTTTGAAGTATATAGCAAACAATAAACCACAGTATCTTCATGTTTGATAAAACAGTTCACAAATTTCCCTGAAAGCGCGAAGTAAAATATGCCTACACTGACGCTTGATAAAAATTATCCTAAAATAAAGACTAACTACCTAATGACTTCTTATTTATCATAGCGTCATGTGATCGTGCTCGAAATTTGAATGCGGGTCTAATTCAGATTAAGCCTCCAATACACCGCCCAACAATTGGAGAAATGGTCCCACGATTTTTGTTTAATTACGAAATTATTATAAACGAGAAAAACTTCTAACCGGCGCAGACTTTTTCCTTTTTGCGAGAGGAGGGGTTGGATCAACTGTAAAAGAGGTTTCCGCTCAATCTTCTAGTACGCAGCACTCGTTATCGTCGCAAACGGTCGACGCCCAAATAGTTGAATCAATGACCGGAAACGCAACAGTTGTCTGCAGAAAAACAAATTAACACGAACTTTCTAGCTGGATTCTGACACCTCAAATGTAGACAGTTGAAAGACAACCTTTAAATATACGTCCCAAATCTACACCATACAGCTCTATCAGTGCCTTTTATTTCGTAAACGGACGATTATCGTAGCGCTGTGTACCGATTCTCATCCAGCTGGTGATGGTCGGTGTTTGTGTCTAGTAACCTGAATGGCGTGTGTGTGGCATTTTTGAAGCAAAGGCGCGACTAGTGGTTGGTTTTTTGCCAACTTAAATTTGAAAAAAAGAGCATAAATCAAGTTAATACACAGTACAATATTAGCATTAGAAAAACATAACATTTTAGCTGTACCACACTGATGATATTTGCTAAGGTGCTCAAGTTCTTATTTGTTAGGATTTGTATAATAGCGTCTTCATTTGAATAAAATTCTATATTGAAACAAATATGCATTCCAGTGATACAAGCTACTATAACTAAACATAAAATAAATATCACTAAAAACCACGGGACATGTGTGATGAAATAAATAAACAATAAACATCGTTTTTCATGAGAAACATATTTATTATCTAACACGACGAAAGGGTTGAGCCCAGTCTAGCAGTCATTGAAACAAAGCCATCACAGCCTAGGCTGTTGGTACGAATGTACTAATTAGGATTATCAAATATACTACTGATGACAATTTTATTTAAGTGCTAAACTTGCAATGCAAACGGAAGCTTTTCAGCCTGTGCTGCTGGTGCTCATCGCTATGAAATCTGTGTCCGCCCATTTGAGACACCCGTGAGTCGGAATAATTATCTTTCCTCTACTTGAACTTTAGAACTGTCACTCAGCGCTGTGTGACACAGATGGCTATCTTTTATGCTTTCAAAATGTGTTCGATCCCAATATAACTATGATATCAAAGTTTCTTTCTACCGCGCAGGTCACAAGTATTTTATTAATGCGATCTTGTTATGTCGCCGACACGGTTTTTTTGCTGGAAAAGCATGGAAACTATTTCAATTTCGTACTGCCTGTTAAAATTTCATTGTGTTTCAAAAAGTCCTGGCAGCATTGCTTCAGCAGCTAAAAAGTTAATCTAGCTCCGTAAAGCTATACATTCTTGGGTTGATATAGTCCAGAAGAAGGCAATTAGCCCCATAGTGTTTCAGTGAACTTCTAGAGCTTTTGATCATAATACCGTAACAAGACAGAAAGCTATCCTTACATCATATATCTTATATACATCTTCACTCGTCTACAAAAGACAGGAGAAGTTTCGAAGAACAAATAGCCTGCCAAAATACCAACACGGACCCTCGGAATAGCGCGGTGTTAACTCCAAGTTGCTTTTTTTTTAATTGAAAGCAATAAACAATTATAAGTAGAATGATGTACTACATTGTAACTAAATATGCAGTCCATGACTTCTATCAGTTACTTTGCCCGACCGACGGCTATGGCAAGGCAAAGGATACCTTTTCTATATTGTGCAAACGAACGTCAAATGATAACGTAACTGGCAGGATTAACGATGGTGAATTTTTAACATGTTTTGTGGACGGTAATGATCATATGAACTGACATGTATATATTTAACCGACTTGAAATGAAAGTAAGTTTATATGATCGCCACCGTGCCCGTGCTATATATAGTTTTGAGCCGTAAAACCATCTACACAAAAATAGTAACTATGATATGTTTGTGTTAGTTCGATTTTACATCTCGCTCTAGCTATACGTGTGCATTATTATTATCGTCGCAGTTTTCTCTGCGGCTATCGCTATCATGATCGATCGTTCATTGTTGTCATCGTCACCTTGTAGATTTCCGAATGTGTTAATTCTTCATTTTCTCTTAATTAGCTAAATAAATAAAGTGGAGGGAGTTTTCTCGAACCTCTACTCGCTGCCCATCCATTGCGTTCTCTTTTTTTTCTGTCTTTTTATATATCTCACATCTGTTTCTCTACTTTTTTAAGCGGGCCCTGGGCGACAAAGTTTCGAACAATCTCGACATCAGTGCTTCAATTGTGCGGCGATGCGGGACACAAAACGTGCCGAACGTTCCGCTTCTCATTGTTGGTTACCACGGTTACTACCAATACTACCCCCGTCTTGTTCTATTCACGCACAACGTTAGCTCGCGCACCAGTAACAGCAGTTCGGGCTGAGAATGAACTGTGGTTTGGTTCTTGCCTCTTAATGAATTCTCTGTCCCCTTATCCGTCCTCCTCTCACATTTTTTTTGCTTCTTGCTTCCCTATAGCCGCTCAGACCGAACTTTGTCCAGTAGCTCCCAGCTACATTCATTCACTCATTTACTTTCAGGGGTCCGCAGGCATACTCGCATGGGGATATTTGCTGATTGCAGTGTATAAACACACCAGACGCACATGGCTGGAATGAATCGGGAATCGTCTTTTATGAGTCGGATCTTTCCCGCTTACTTACTGAGCTGTAATATAGCCAGCGCGAGTCATGGCTCATCGTCTCATTCATTCATTAGCATTTCCAATGCCTTCACAATTCAGGCTCGAGCTTGCAAGCTTTGTAAACGGCTTCGAGAGTTGATTGGTCTAGAAGGCAGGGGATGGCTTCTACTTGCTAAGGATTCAGTGCAGCGCAGTTACTACACCAAAGCCTGTACCTCGTTGTCGCCGTTTGCACCAAAAGGCAGCGCGCATCGGCATTTTCTAACACTCGGCTGAGAATCCTTTTCGTTGGGTTAGTCGTTGTGTGCATCGCTGGCCTAACCTCCCTATGACCGCTGGGACTGTCGGGCTTAACGGAACCATTTGAGACACCAAGTGGCCTTGAAGTGGATGCTAGGAACACCGCTGCGACTGCCGTTAGCTTCTTTGTTGTAACACGCTCACTCCCGCAGAGCGCGTCGGAGACCCAGCGGAGCAATGGAAAATGAAAGTTTATTCAGAGAACAGGACCCGAAAGGGAGCTGTGCAGTTCAGCGTGTGACGGAAGCAAGACGCTAAGGTGCTCGCCATGGTACTGCGGCGTTAATCTTCGAGGCTTCGAAATACTTCTTGTAGCAGTGTTGTGGTGAAGGTGCCAACAAGTGCGGTGTATTGAGAGGTTGATCTCTACGACACTGAACAGTTACTAGTCAGCCCTCAGTGCAGACAAATCGACACGTACTAACCAGAGGGAGAGACGAAGAACGCGACTGGGAAGAAACTTCATTTGTGGAGGGCAACATGACGGAGCAACGAACCACGTATGCTAATGAAGTGCGGAAAAAAGAAGCAGAACTGCCCCGCTTTTGAGCTATAGTACAACGACGGACCAGCTTCTATCTGTTCGTCTATTTGCCCGCCCGCTTGTTTGTCTCAGTCTCCCTGCCATAGTAATCCGCGAATCCCCGCAAACACGGTAAGTAATAGTATTTATTTAACATTCACAGAAGACATCTCGCCTATTTTCTCTTGAAAAGATTAGTGCTGACCTATTCCCGTCACTTGTAAAAACATATCGTCTTATAAGGAATCAACCATACCGGCATTATTCGGGACACGACTGGCTACCATATATCTTTCATAAGTGAAGGACGTCGTTCTGAAGATGCAAAATGATTAAAGTTATTGGTAGTATGGGTAATTATTTTTGCCGAATGCCACAGTTATTTGTTTGAACAAATTCTGGGTTACTTTAGAACGGCAACAGTTCAATCTCGTTAGAAAACAAAGTCGGGATTTTTCACTCGACGTCAGACATACACGTGGGCCACATATGCATCTTTATGCTTTGGATGAACACATTAAGGTATTAAAAAATATCCGTAACAAAAAGAGAAAACGAAAATGCCTATTAAAGTTAGTAGTACATTTAGACTACTCTGTCAGAAATCGAATACAGTTACACAGCGGTTCCTTGAGTGTGTTTATGGAACGGGATTGAGCCAGGCCAGGTGTTAAAACTTAAAACAGGTCTATACGAAGCATATCACTTTGCGGTAACCATTGAATCATCTTTCAAATAAGAATAGTCCAGTTTGCTATCACATCGAGGGGATCAGTTAGATCGATGATTTTTACTCGCAGAAATGGAGGTACACACTTATATACACGAATATAATTACTTTCTTGATCAACTCCGTCTAATTCCCTGATATTAGATGTCTTGAGACGGAAAAACAGGTCCTCATAAGAATCGCCTACTATCTTTCTATATTCTGCTGCCAAGATGGTTTCTCATTTTGAACAGACAAGACTGGCCGCAATCCCTTCAGTTCATTCTTCCATCTTCATTTAGTCGGTAGACTCTCATACATTGCCAATTTGTTGAAGGAGGATGTGCATGGCTATTAGTACGTACGGCTTACGTTTAACGCCATATACATTCTCATTATTTCGAATTCTAGTCAACTTTTGTACTGCGACACCCGCTCGTACGTTTTGTCGTTTTAATGCAAAGATATTGAAGGAAAATTCTACGCTCACTTGTTGATTTTCACCAGTAGTTTCACGAAATAATAACCGTTCATTTGATACGGGGTGAAAACCATTTCGTAAAGGCATTTCATGGAATAGCACCTGCTTCTGGCCCCCGTAGGCTTAATAAATTGCTACCTACCTCAAGGTAAATTAGGGATAATCGTTAAGAATAAAGGAGGTCATACTTTAAGTTTACTAAACTAGACTTTAAGAAATTACTTGTTATTTTGCCATAGGGTGATGTCGATTTATGTCTCAGTCATTAATAATAGCAATAGCAATATACGAGGACAGTGTCCATAAGGTCAAAGATTCAATAGGGCGCCCAACTCTAGAAATGCCTGCAAATGGCATTTTAGGCATCTTAAAGGATAACTCTAAAATTCATTTCACTGAGCCATGCTTGCAAAACACCGAAACAGCGATAACTCAAGCTATGGCCCCTTCTAGGCAAAAAAAAACGGCGCGCCTAAATATTTTTTGGACCTGGTTCGGTTGTCACACTTACCAAATAACATAATTACAATTCAGTGCATTCTACATAACAATATGGATCTGTGGGTATGACAAAATTTGAAACAGTTAGAACACAATTGCCTAATTTTTATGATATTTTTTTGTGCAAGATAAATATAAGCTTAAAAAATGGATCTTAACCCCCGATCAAAAAAATTAGCCATAACACTAAATAGGTAAGAAAACTTTTTGGCTAACTCCGGAGAAAAAA